GAAAGAAAAAGAAAGAAAAAGAAAGAAAAAGAAAGAAAAAGAAAGTAGACGGTGATAGTGACGTCGGCTGAAGTGAGTCAACCGGCCGGTAAGAAAAACGCGTTTCGCATCGCTCCATCGCGATGCGTATTCCCGGGCGCCGGAGCTTTTATTTTATTTTTGCTTGTTTCTGGTCGGGGCATGATTCCTGCACGCCCCTGGGAGATGTGACTACCGCTTGCCGATTCTTGCGTCTGCTTTCGTACACAGGAGCAGCAAGCCTCTCTAATAAGACACAATATGTAGGGTAGTTGGCAGACCAGGCTGATGAAACCTCATGGAAACGGGCGGTGCGGATGGCCCGCCGGCTCGTTGCGTGCCCAGGCTGGCGGCGAGTTTGATGGTAAACTGTTTGTCCATTAAGTTTGAGTCAGTCATTTGCTGTAAGTCGGCTTACCCGGCATTGTTATGGATGTTGTCAATGGACATTAGGCCACTACCAAGCGGCGTTGATATGCGCTGAAAGCAGCCTGAGTGTTGTAGTAAACGTAATCTTGGCTGCTTTGTCGTGAGTAGTTTACAGTACTCCTCTCTACGGCGGTGTAGCCAACAGACACGATTCGCTAGTCAAATGAGCATTCATACTGGGCGTTATCATTGCCCCCAACAGTGTACACACAGGTCACTCGTTTAGGACCTATGAAGTGACTTTGAGACCCTGACTAGTCCGATAACTTAAAAAAAAACAGCAAAAATCAATGCAAAGGTCATATTCATCAGAGTGACTTTCGAGTCATGAGCCATTGCGCCGCGTCACCGTGGCCGAAGAGACGATCAGCGAAGCAAAGGGCATTAGGAGCAGAGGCACAGCAACAATCATCTCATGGTTTCGAAATTACTCACTCAATAATAAACCAGATCTCTGGGCTACGGGCAACAACGAAAGAAAGTCGCAAGGCTACATGGGGGTAACCTTTCGAAGCAGTCTGCAATAGCAGCTCTCAACGCGAACTTGCAGTACTCTCCTCGATTATACCCAAGCCGGTCGAAGCGTTGGCAATGAGTTTCTCGTACACAACTTGACACAAGAGTCTAAGCTGTAGGGCTCATTACCAGTTGAACCGGCGATCAAACTGTACAATAGTCTTGTAGATAAGTGCAAGTGGTCCGAGGTCGTGTCGAGTGCAATCGGCACGAAACACTCTTCAATCTCGACTATGAAACGATGCAGGCCTAGATTGGTTTACTCTGGAGATTTAAAGATGGCAGTGGTTGTAATATCTGTATAACAGGTGTGATGTCCAATAAAGTGTTATTATCACGGCACTTTCCCGCTATCAATCGTTTAAGCAGTAACCCGGCCAGGACTAAGCGGAACGCCTACTTTTCCAGAACGGAAAAGTGCAACGGTAGACAACGATGTCTTTGTATAGGACGTATTTAGGAACCGAGAGACAAGAAAGTAGGAGATGCAAAGCACACACTAGGTGTGATTGCGACCACTGGATGGAATGCAACAGTTGACCAAGTAGTATGTAGGAGCCCGAGAGCTTAACATGGTGGTGATCACCATACTGATCTCATCTCCCATGACACAGGTAGTGAGCCGTGGCTCACTGCTAATAAATAATACCGGAGAACTAGAACATCTATTATTTGAGACTTTTTCCTCCCTGGCGCGATTGTGATTGCTTCGCGGAACTCTGCCGCCCCTATCTTGGACTGGTTCGGAGATGCACTCGATCGAGTTCGCAAAAGTTCCAGTTTTCTGACGGGCATGTTTCGAACTGCGCTAAGCAATTCTTTGAGGCCATTCCCTATTATTTTCCTCTAAGTAATGATGCAAGTTCCAAGAGTGCGAGAACTGGCCGTGTTTGTATGTCTCCACCAGCACGTGATGGCTTCAACAATTTTGGCGCAAAGAGACTTGAACATCAACCAATGGATACGAAATCTTGCACGAGAACTTCTCTTTAGCGAATTTAGGCAGGAACTATATGGGCTTCCGGAATTACAATGACTTGAGCGTGTCTGCCCACTGTCTTTTCCCGTTTTCCACGCTGCCAAAACATGGCCTTTTCGCCCAAGCCAGTGGCTCACCTCACGGGCTCTAATGGTATGAGCCTCACACTACCCGTTCCATTCATTTCCCATAGCTAACTCCATCCCCCCCAAAAGGTCCTATCCATGCGGTGACGTACTCTTCGTCGCCCGGCACCTACATCCTCACCGGGTCCGCCGACCGCACCATCCGGCTGTACAATCCGCAGCCCGCCTCATCGTCCGCTTCGGCCGCCGCCGCCGCCTCGCCGCCGCAGGGCCGTCTCATCCAGACGTACGAGGCGCACGGCTACGAGGTGCTGAGCCTCGCGGTGTCGGGCAGCAACACGAGCTTCGTCTCTGGCGGCGGGGACCGCGGGGTGTTCCTGTGGGACGTGGCGAGCGCTTCGACGACGCGGCGGTTCGGCGGCGGCGCGCACGGGCACACTTCGCGCGTCAACTGCGTCGCCTTTGCCGGGGAGGGCGACGCCGTCGTCGCCAGCGGCGGCTTCGAC